TATGAACCCATGAAAAAATTTCATTGAAATTTTGGGTATAGTTTAAATGTGTAATATCTGACACATTTCTCCACTACCTTAAAGTTTTTAATTGTATTTCACTTTTACAAACACTGGGTATATTTTAACATTCCTAACTGATGTGTTAGGCAAAACTTCACGAATCTGTATTCATGCGCTGTACTTTGCTAATCATGTGAAATGTACTTGATGGCTGCTTGTTCCCCCTGCAGGAAAATTAAAATTTTTTATCAGTGCTGGGTGAGACAGAGAAAAGCAGCTCTCAGCTGACCTAGGTATTGCTACAAGTTGGGCTGGCAGTCACGGCCAGGCCCGAGTGTCATCCTTTCAGAGAATCCCCACTTCAGAGAAGGCCCCTCTGTGACCGCGAGGGAGCATCACCACATCTGAACACAGACCACGAACACTGACCAAATCACAAAATGTCAGCCACCTCCTTAAAAATGTCAACCCTCCCCAGCTCATAGCAGCAGCCGCTGCTGCTTCTTTCCAATTACAGGAGCAGCCTGGCTCCACTCACCCTGTAAATGAAATTTATTAAGATACCCCGTCACAGAAGTAACTCTGCTTCCTCACAGCATCCAATGCAGAGCGAGGCCCCGTTTCCTTAAGCCCTCCCCAAAAGTACCTAGCGCAAGTTGAAATCCTGTAATTAGCCTTTTCTAACACCTGCTTATTGAGATACCCCACGGTGTCTCAGGGTGTGTTTCCCCTCACTGCAGTGAGTAATAAAGCGACTTGTTCAATTAAAAAAAAATGTTAAAGTGACCCAAGAGATCAAATTATATTTTTAAAAAATGTGTTTTTATATTGTTCAAAATATAGAGGTGCACATAAATAATCAGCTCACCACAAACCCAATGTCAATAAATGCAGTTATTAAAATTCTAATTCAGTGGTCAGTAGTTTTGGTTACAATTACTGTTTATAATAGATGGAAAAAAATAAATATTTTAAACGCAGTCCTACCCCATAAGATAACTTTCACCCTGCTGCTTGTAATAGGATCATTTGTGAGATAGCAAGTAAATTAGCTAACTAGGAGCCATTGACAAATGAGAACATGATTGTAGAGTCTATGTAAATGGTGCTTAACATCCAGATAAAAGTCATAGAAAAACACTCAGTCATCTGAGCATTTCTAACTATTCTGCATTTATAAAAGCAGGTAATGATATATCATATACAATAGCAGCAGTTACAGACTGCTAAATCCCACATTTCAGTTAATAATGAAGCAGTAGGTAAGAGCTACAGGCGAGGAGAGCCAGGCCTCCTGGGCTCACTGCGAGGATAAACAGACTGAATTTAACTGCCATCAAGTCTTTGGCATCCATGGATACAGGCCAAAGGGCATGAGAGCCCAGCTAACCAAGGCCCGCTTCACACTCGAGGTGCAGAGGTTCACAGAGACAAAGTGAAGGGAGGACCATCTCCAGCATGCGGACTCAGAACTCTGCCCCCGCCACACACACACACCTCTTAAGAGTGGCCCCTCACTTTCAGAGTGAGAACCAGCATTCCCATTTGCTTCTTCCTGGAGGAGCTGCTGGGATGATGACTGAAGACTGGAACTAATTGGTGTGAGTATGAACTTGTTTGTGTATAAATAAATTTAATGAAGTGTCTTTGGGGACTGGGTACCTTATCAGGTAAAATTGTATTTGGCCCTTTGCAGAATTCCCTCAATGCTGGAAGGATTTTCAGCAAGTAAGACTGTGTTTCTCAATGGAAACATTGGCATTTTAGGTAGAACATTCTCCCCAGTGTGGGTTTGCGCTCCCCACATAGTGAGGCGTAAAATAAAAGGTTGGCCCTCAGGTACTTAACTACTCAACGGCAGCAGCACCTCTTGTTCAGGGCTGACCCTAGAGCCAGGTGATTTAAAACACCAAAATTAATGCAAAAAAACAATCTATAATGAACAAATGTCAAATGCAAAATGTTAAATAAAACAGGATCAGTAATAGTGACATCTCCTCTACCTCAGACTCCACTATGGGGTCAGCATGGCAAAGAGACTGGTCTGTCTTCCACTAAATTCTTGCTACATTTTTTGTATGTCGTGAATTCTGGAATGCTCTTTAATTCTGCAGCCAAGACAAGTACCTACCTTCGCCCCAGTCCAACCCTGCCCCCAGCCGTCGCAACAACCCAAAACTACCTCCACACATTGCCAAAGGCCCCTCTTGGCTAAGCAGCTCTGAAATAGGAGGGCCGACTTTTCTCATATAATAAGAACTCCTGAGAAAGACAGTGCAGCTTGAAATGGTGACTTATAATGCCAGTAGGACCATAGATTCCCATATCTCTGCTATGCTCACAAGATGACTTGCTGCATGCCAAGGTGTTAAGTCCTAATTTCAGGCAAGAAAAACAGATCAGCTCAGCCTGACTCTGTTAATTATAAAAAAAACAATCTGAGTTCATATGTATCATTGGCCAGAAGTGGGTCAAATGGCTGACCCCGCTGCAAGAAGACAGAGAAGTGAACAGCTTTAACTGAGCACACTCCCACCTGCATAAAATTGGTGGCCTGTCCCTAGAAAGGAAGAGGAGCGTAAATACAGGATAAACTGCTAGACATGCCTGCGATGGGGCCCATGCAGGATAGCAAATGCTGGCTCTTTGCGGTGACTGTAAATAGCATCTTCTCTGCTTGCAATCTGATGGCCTGCCTGTGCAGAACATTTTGATGGTCACTTTAAGATTTATGCAAAAAAATTAGAAAGCTGTCCTAAGTTGGATACCATAACAACAGAACCAGTAACGGATTTAGATGTACATGGTGTATTAAGGGTGTCGTCTTGGGGAAAACCTTGTAAGCCAGCGAGAGGAACAACCAGAGGAAGGGGATGAGCTGTGTAACTCTATGTTCTCACTGGGAGTTTTGCGTTGGGCTGATGCGCAAGGGGCTGTGCACCTGAGTCACAGCAGAGTTGTCTCCCCATACAGAAGCTTGATAAATCAGTTGGCCACAGGCCACCCCGTCTTGGTATAAAGGAGCCAGCGTAAGCATCCAGGCTTCTCCCAGTGACATGACTCCCATCAGTCAAGAGCAACGCTGCAAGAGCAGCGCTCCATAGAGGGTTACAGGGGTGAGCTGTTTACCAAAGCACCTGCCACAACTGGGGGATGGGAGTGCCCCGTTAACATAGATCTGGGTGGGCATCAAGATCATCTACTAAAAATATTCTGATACATTTTCCAAAGAACTGCTGTTACTTCTACTTTTAATTGTTTAAGAGTGCAACCTTAGATTTATTGCTATGACGAAAAGCTAGCAATGAGTTGAAAATGTCTCATTTTTAAGAAAAATAGATTAACAGGTGTTGACTTGTTTTGTTAAGCCACAAATGTAGAAAGTGTTTCATAATTTGCTTTGGGTATTAACCTGGATCCAGTCTGTAGTTCACAATCTCATCAGAGCACGTAAATATTTAATAGTGTCAGTGTCTCATTTAAAGCTCAATGAATATTTAATTGAAGTTGACCAACAAAATAACTAAAAGAATTATGTTGCATTAGGTAGACCTAAAATGAGTAAGCTCTTCATTTTCTCAAGTAGTTTGAAGCTAAAATTATTCCAAGTTCATGAAATATTCTACATAATTTTATAAGTAATTAAAGGGCCGCAAATACAGGCTGAGAGGCACTTATTAAATATTGAGGAAAATGAAATAAAGTGAATTTTCAACTTTAAATGCAAGAGAATAGTTAAATATTACTTAATCAGTAATGGGTTAGTTTAAAATATTGTTAATACACTCTTTTTGATACAAGAAGTAAAAATAGACTCTTCCCTTGGGCCCTTGCATGCTAAACATTTTAGAATGATGACATGCAAACACCTTAGATTGATGTTAACAGGAAACCATGCATGATCCACCCAAGTAAGTCAGCCCAGAAATTGTTTCTGAACTCTGGGTCCAGAACTCAGTCAGGTACTGAAAATAATCAAAAACAGAAAGATTGGCCCATGGTCAAAGTAGAGATGGTTTCCCAGGAAAGAAGCTTCCCTGCAGTCTGTTAGATCTTCATAAGTGTCAGAACTGGGTTTCAAAAAAGATGTGTACTCTATTTGATCGACCCTAACACAGATGGCATGGGGTGTGTCACTTCTATCAAATTTGAAAACATTTTAATTGGAATCAAAGTATTGCCAACCAATCTGTGTTAAAGTTCTTAAAAACCACCTGGTAAACTGAACACACTAAAATTTAAATTCTTTCTCTAGCCCAGAATTAATTTATAAATACAGGTCCTAAATAATCTAATCACAGACCCTTTTTGGAGAAGGGAACAGGAGGCCACCGTGCAGGGTTGTGCTAAACACCACATATCCATGTAGCTTCCTTCTGGGAAATAACTGGTCATCTTAGTACTTTTTGCTTTGATCTTAGTCCCTGTTTAATATATTCAAGTGGATAACCTTTCTGGAACCATTAATATGCCAGGACACATTAGTGTATGTGTGAGTGTGCACATACATATTAAAAAATTCAGAACCTTGTCTAATAACGGCACGTACTTCTTCATTCTTACAATTCCTGCCATGATACCCTTGGCTTCTCAGGGGAGAATCACTACTAGTATGGAGAAGAGAAAGCATTTCTCTGTTGCTAGTTAATGCCACATTCACAATCAAAAAATTATTTAGGAAATGGCAACTCATTAAGCAAAAATGACCATTTACCAAATGCTTAATGTCCACAGCAGGACAAACGGTCCTTTCTAGGGGAGGGCAGGAAAAAAAGGTTGAAAGCATTAACCATGAACAATCTGGCCTCTGCGACCCATGTGGCTGGTCAGAGACAGGAGCAGAAATACCTTGTCTTTGTTAAGGGTACTTTTGTCCTTGAATGTGTCTTTTCAGTAGAACTAGTTTTAACACTTACATGGAGGACTCTCAAATAGATTTAATATGGAATACATATAACATTTTATGACTGCATTTCTCCTGATGTCATATGACTTACCTGTTTATCAAAAGCTACCCAGGACGGTGCAGCACTTCCATCTCCTTTAGGAAAGACACTGTACTTCGGTTTCGTCTTTTGCACAAAGAGCCGTTCTCCACCTATGCCCGGTTTATCTTCACTCAACAGCATCCTGACATTATTGCAAAAGTCCCAATGATGAGGTTTGTGGAACTTCTCCTTTCCCGCCTGTGAACACAGGAGACAAGATAAAATGTCCAAAGTGACTGTTTATGACTTTTAAATCTGTTTCACAGGTAAACACATTTCCAATCAGTTATTTTTCCCCACTACAAAATGCATGTTAGATTGGCAAGTAATTATAAAGAATCTTTATCCATAAAGTTTGGTCATGTGTTTGATGCAACTCATTTTGACAAATTCAAAACTTTGAAAAGCAATAAAAATAACCCCCATGTGCCCTGCTATTTAAAATATTTAAAAATAACTATTACTGCAAGTGAACATTTAGAACATTAGCTTGCTAATTGGTCTATTCTACTTATTTGCCAAAAATTCAAGCGGGGAGAAAAAATAACTCCTCCACTTCAGAGTAAAAATGTTAACAGTTTTCCCACAAAAACCTAAACATTAAATTCACCAAAACAGTGAATAAAATCTTGTCCTCAATAACATCAACATAACAGAAAATTCCTCAGAGTTGATATTCTCCTCTTGGTGGAACTTTGCCCTCATCTACCTGCACTCTCCTCCCATCCTTAATGGGAATCTGGGCAGAGAGGAAAAGCACAGATAATGTTAACAAGGGTTGGCAAAGATATGGGTCAACACTGCCTTGTAAGCACTGTTGGTATGAAAGTAGAGCAGAAAATTCCTTCTGAGGAGAGATACGCCAATACCTTGCAAGGTGAAATGTTCCCGATTATGCTCAGCGACCTAGCAAGCTCACTCCTTTTTCTGACCCTGTGCACAGGAGCTATGTACCAAATTGTCACAGCAGAGTTTATCAGAGTAAAAAACAGAAAACAATCTAATTGTCCATCAATAGTGCGTCAGATGCCTCAACTGGATTACCTTTACAAAAGGTAATATTACTACACAGGGCTAAAATATTTCAGTTCTTCCCTTAAGTGACCTTAGGTGATCTCCAAAATTGGTTTGTCACTTGTTTGACCCCCAAAACCTCGCAAAGTCACACAAATAAAGAGGTTCAAATCTCTCTGTTCATTTTAATACCCAAGAAACTGTCCCGGGCATCAATGTGCGTGTATATCTGAAAAGTGCTGTGAAGGCCTCACTGTTCATAGGCTAGCCTGCGATTTGCAGGCAGTGTGGTGGAGCTGGTAGGTGGGCTGTGGCCATGCAGTGGGACTGGACACAGGTGAGTGGCCCAACAAGAGAGCAGAATATTTACTGCACATGCTTTAACATGCAGAGACTAATGCAGGGTTTAGATGTAGATTCCCTGGCCTCCAAGCACTTCCAGGGGACTAAAACCCGTATAGTGCATCATGGAACCTACAGAGCTAGTGAGCAGATGAGCCCACACGTGTGCTCCTCCTGCCTCGCTGAGATGATCCTTACTGAAGAAGAGCAGGTTGTTCCTAAAACAGAAGAGGAGGTGATATGCAGAAAGAAAATATACCCAGGAGAAACCAAAGAAGCAAAAACATGGCCTGGGAATAAGTGTAGCAGAAATTGACCTCAAATATAAATTGATTGATCAACCGTTTTAGATACAGTTGAAGCCCTCTCTTGGAGCTCATGCCACTGTGTCCTTTTCTAGAGGTAAACATTATCCAAAGCTTGCTACCTGAACTTGAACACTTTGCCAAGATGGTATATGCCAGGGCAATAGCGTCTTGAAAAGCATGTTATATAGGCAGGTAAGTCATAGGAAGCTCAAAAAGACTGTTTTCTCTTACAGTGAGGGTTTAGGGAAGAGCCGGGCAGAATCTGAGCAACCCCACACAGCAGGGGCAAGGGGCAGGGTGGGGCAAGATGGGGCGGGATGGGGCAGAACAGCAATTGCAGTTGCCCTTGAGCAGACAAATTAACTCAGCCAGGCAAGGAAAAGAAGCTAGAGGCAGTGGTGAGGATGGTGCTAGAGGCAGTGGTGAGGATGCTCTGTCCCTCAGAGCACCCATCCACAGCACCTCCGCTCCAGCCCCCTACACACATCTGCACACACGCGCACATACACACACATGCACGTGCATGCGTGTATATTATCACCACTCAGTCATTCCCACATCACATAACATTTTTTTGCAGCAAAGCAAAAGTTAAAATGAATGGTGGAGGGCCCTCCCTGGTGGAGCAGCTGGTAGGAGACAGCACTGCCATGGTGAACACTTCAGTGCAAGTTTGATCCCCGGCCCCGGGGGTGAACCACATGGCGCGGCAGACCTCTCCTGACCCATCCGCTGCTCCCCTCAGCAGTGTACTTCATCAATCTGCCTATTCTGCTCCGCACTCTGTCTCTGGTGAATTCTCTCACGGCCCCTGTACCTCTGGCCTGTTACCCAGTTCAGTATGCACATAAATAAAATCTTTGGGGAAAAAAATAATGGTGAAAAACACTGAATCCAGTAACACTGTCCCCTTTTCTAAAACAAGTAATTTCAGGTTAAACCAGCAAGTGTTTCTTAAGCATTTAAGCTTACATACCTAGCACTTAAGCTAGGTATGTGCCTAGCTTGAAATGCACGATCTTGCTGATGAGACAAGAGCTAGATACATTAAATAATGAGAAAAAAATCAGCTATCACTTTGGACCACTCACAACAAGCTGAACCCTTTACTAAGGTCTGATATACTTATTGCATTTCATCACAGACCTATATGAAAGGTATAATTTACCCCCATTTTACCAAGGAGGAAACAAAGCAGAGAGGTAGACCAGCATCCCTGCGGTTACATGGGACATAGTGGAGCATTCAACTGAACTGAAATGCATGGGACCCTGAGCTCTGATGAGTTTATTTGCTAAGAGCCATACACTGTACTGGCAGAGATTGTTGAGGAACTGGACACTCTCATGGGCATGGAGGATCCAGGTGAATAGATAGGAGAGGAAAGGCTAGTGTGTTCTGGGCACAGCTACAAATGATATACTGAAGCTCAGTTAATAGTGTCTGGCATCAGGAGTCAGGGAGGGGGAAGTCTAATAAAAAGGGCAAGTTCAAGTTTGGAAGGAGGGTGAGATAGACTACGTAAGGAGATATGTTTTGCAAAGTCTCAAATTTAAATTCTATATTCATCTGAAACTGCTCGAGCACAGATGAAATACAGAGAAATGCCATCTTGGGGGGAAATGTTCCAGCAGGATTGAGAGCCATTTTATAGCCATTAGAATGGCAAGAATTAGAAAGCTGGATAATATGAAAAGTTGGCGAGGATGTGAGGAAACAAAAATGCTTTGCTGATGAGAGAGTTGACTGTCAGTCTGGGAAGCAATGTGGTTTACCTGACAAAATTAGAGATGCATAGTCTCTATGATTCAAGACTCTAACTCCTGGATATATGTATCAGGGCATTCCCTATGCAGCCAACAAATGTGGGGAAGTGTCATGTTATCTGGGGAAGATAGAGACGACCTGCATGTCTTAACCATTGATGGGAGGGTTAAGAAATAGGATTTTATGGATAAATACATTATGGTAGATATTCATTTCACTGCTTAGAAGCAATATACCAGAGGTAAGCTCAAGAAGCTGTAACAAAGTCCCACACACTGGAAGGCTTAAACAACAGTGTATTTCTCACAGTTCTAGGCAGTAGGAAGTCCAAGGTAAAAGTATTGACCAATTCGGGCCCTCCCTGGTGGCGCAGCGGGTTAAAGCACTGCACTACGAAGCTTAAGCCACTTCCTCATGAGTTCGATTCCCGCCTGCCCCGGAGGAGTCCACATGGCGAGGCAGACCTCTCCTGGCCCACCCGCTGCTCCCCTCAGCAGCGTACTTCGTCGATCTGCCTGTTCTGCTCCCCACTCTGTCTCTGGTGAATCCTCCCACCCTCCGCATCTCTGGCCTGTACCCCAGTTCTATATGAATAAATAAAAAAAAAAAAGTATTGACCAATTCAGTTGTCCAGTAAAAAAAAAAAAGGCTCTCTTCTTGGCTTTAGACTGTGGGTATGGGTGTGGGTGTGGGTGAGAGAGATAAAGAGAGAGAGAGGGAGGGAGGGAGGGAGGGAGGGAGAGAGAACACAAGCTCTCAGGCAATAATACTCTCATCAGGGAGTTTCCCCTCTCATGACCTCATCTAAAACCTAATTATATCCCAAGGTCTCATGTCCAAATACCATCACATCAGGGGCTAGGGCTTCAACATGAATTTGGGTAAATATAATTCATAGCATAAGATATACATAAAGTAACCCAGACAGATCCTTAAAAATACTGTTGAGTGAAAAATTATATCTATAGCACACAACATCATTTACATATTTAAAGAAAACACTAAAGACAGTGCTTCATATTTAACAAGGACACAGACATTTGAGAATATACATCAAAAACTATGGGCATGAAAACCTATTTAAGTGGAGAGGGAATTACTAGGGATCAGGAATGAAGAGAAATAAACATATATAAAACAAGAGAGAGAGCCTTCTTTTCCTCTGTGGCTGCCTGAAGAGCCACCACCATCATGAATGACATGCTAATTATTCAGGCTAGGAAATTCATGAATAACCAACTGCTTCAGCGGAAACAAATGGTCATGGATGTCCTTCACCCTGGAAAGGCTACAGTACCTAAGACAGAAATTCAGGAAAAACTAGTGAAAATGGGCTTTAAAGTGGGCTTTAAAGTTCATTTTTATATTTCAGTTTCTTGTAACTAATTTTATTGTATATTAAAGAAGTTTCAGTCTGTTATAATCTGGGTAGACAAACTTCCCTTCACAAGATTGAGGATCTCTGCCTTCTAGAATGTTCCTTCCATACCCCCTTGATGACCACCCTTGATGTCATCTTTGTATTTGGATTCAGAACCCATTTTGGAGGTGGCAAGACAACTGGCTTTGGCATGATTTATGATTCCTTGGATTATGCAAAGAAAAATGAACCCAAACATAGACTTGCAAGACATGGCCTGTATGGGAAGAAAAAGACCTCAAGAAAACAGCAAAAGGAACGCAAGAACTGAATGAAGAAAATCAGGGGGACTGCAAAGGCCAATGTTGGTGCTGGCAAAAAGAAGGAGTAAAGATTCTGCAGTGAAT